TGTTTCTCTTGTCTGTATGTTTCTTCCTTGAAATATGCGGGGCCTAGATTGTAACCTAGTAACTTCCCTGGACTTCCATTGCCTTTGAGGGCAGGTGGTCCGACCGGTCTCAAGGACACCTTCCCCCTTGAGCCCAGGACCTTGAGGATGATGTCATGTCTCTCTCTGTTTTATGACCCTCACGTGCACTCCCGCCCTGAAAAGTGGATAAAAGAGAGGCAAGAGATTGAGTCGGGGGGCTCGGTTTTGGAGACACACTGGTGTTCCAAGTTACCCCCACACACACACCAACCGGAATAAACCCACTTCCTCTAATAACTGGTGCCCAGAGTCTTCTATCTGCGTCAGTTTCCTACTACAGAGAAACATGACAAACATTATAATATGCTGACCTACTAGTAAAGATAAGTCTCACCAGCGAAAAGCTTCACCTGGAGCTGGGTGCTCCCAGCCACCCACGTCCACACACCCTGAGCCCCCAGGATGAAGCCACCTGGTGGGCACTTCTGTTCTTCCCTTCGAGGGATCCCAGAGGCCTCCAGAGTCAATGGTCCTCCAGGACTTATTCCTGCCTGTCCTTCTGGAGCAGGCCAAAGATACAGACTTACCTGGCCTCCTCATCTCCCCACCCCCCAGACCCCCCCACGCCTGGCCAGAGAGCACCTCACAACTGCTGGGAAGACCTGGCTGGAGTTTCACCAGATTAAGTCTGCAGCACCTGCAGCCTGGCTATAGCAGGGCAGCCCACAGCACCTACAGACATCCCCAACTGTGGAGGGCAGGCAGCTCCAGCCTGGGTCTTAAGCCTCTGGATACAAGAGGCTACAATCCTCCAAGATGGCCAGAAAAAGTATAGGATAGCATCACCAAAAGGTCAAACCCCAGGAACAAAAGTTTCTGCATTGAAATAAGCTAGTGACTCAAATTACACTTTAACAGAACAAAGGTTCAAAGGAAACCCTAAAGAAAATTTGAAAACAGTTTCTTCTCAATCCTGTTTGTACATCAAGAAGCATCAAGAGTTTGTGGGAGGTTTTTGTTTGGTGGTGTTTTTCTTAAATAAATATGAACACATCTGATGAGAACAAAAACATCAATATCAAGACTGAAGTATGTTAACCAGTTTGATGAAAATATTTCAAATGGTATATAAAACCAGCACATTGTACCCCATGATTGCATTAATGTACACAGCTATGATTTAATCATATATATATGTGTGTGTGTATATATATATCAAGACTGAAAAACCCAGGCAAAGAACCATGAAGAATAAGATGGGTAGAGGAAAAGTTTTTCTCAGCTGAAGATGCAAGTTCTTTTCAAAAAATAGCATGAAGGTGGCCACGAAGTTTTGAAAAGAGGAAAAGGTTTGGAATTGTTGCTACCAAAGATGAAAAAGTCAAGGGACAAAAAAGTTTACCATGCAGCACAAATTTGTAGCAGAATCAACCAACCTTCCAACAGACCAGGAAGAACAGGAGAAAAGATACTGAGGAATTTCCAAAGGATTGCAAATCAGTAAGGCAGGTACTGGAGGAAGTCCTGATGGGCAAGTCTATTCCTTTCCTAGGTCTGCCATAAGTACCACAAACTGGGTGGCTAAAAACAATTGAAATTTCCTGTTTTGGAGGCAGGAATCAGACGTCAAGGTATTGGCAGGGCCACACTTCCTACAGCGCTTTTAGGCAAGGATTTTTCCTGGCCTGTGCTACCTTCTGGTGATCCAGCCATTCCTTGGCTTGGGACAGCATAGCTTCAGTCTCTGCCTCCATCTCCCAGAGCCACCTTCCCTCTGTTTTCACCTAGCATTTTTCCATGTGTGTTCATGGACATGTGTACATGTGTATAAATTTCCCTCTTCTGAAAAGGACATAAGACATACTGTATTAGGGTCCACCTAAGTGACGATGTCTTGATTATAGCTGCAAAGATCCTATTTCCAAATAAGGTCACATTCACAGGTAGGACTTCGACTTTTGAAGGAACATCCTAGAAAGTTGAGAAGTCAGTAGAAATTGTTGAATGAGTGGGCTGCTCCGACTGAAGAGGAAGACAGGCCAGGATGGGCTGAGATATAGGAAGGGGAGGAGGAGTTAAGGAAGGTGCTGGGAGTTTGTAAGAATCCTTGGTGTTTTTTTTTTTTTTTTAATAAAAAAAAATTGTATTTACTTAGAAGCATTCAGAATGTCAACAAAACAGCTGCAACTTTTTTTTGAAATTACACAGTGGTATTCAGTTAACAGAACAACAATTACTTCATATAAGCTGCATCAGGGACAACTAAAGATAAAAAAAACTACCATCCCCGTATATAACTAATTTGTGCTATGCACCAACAAGAACCTGCTTTAAATTTCCATGCCAACTTACAACCCCCATACTGTACCAGGCAAGGTTAGTGGCTACTGAAAATACCACCAGGACAGGGCTACCTAAAGACACATTCAGTAGTGTGTTAACTACACAAAAAAAGACACTGTATAGTTTAAAAACAAATCTTACACAGCCTTACATTTCAATTTTTTTCTTTAAAAGGAGTTGTGTACAGAGGAGTTAAATGCTTTATGGACAAGGAAAAAAAACTGCAGTAGAACCAACTTATTCATCATCAATATTCATCATCATCAATGACCAACTTCTTCGTCATCCTCCTCCTCATCCTCCTCATCTTCCTCCTCTTCTTTCTTTTTCTTGCTTTTTCCAGCCTTGATGACTCCCTTTTTCGTTGCATCAGGCTTTCCTTTAGCTTGGTATGCAGCAATATCCTTTTCGTATTTTTCCTCCAGCTTTGCAGCCCTCTTTTCATCAGGCTGCTTGTCATCTGCACCAGTGTTATTCCACGTCTCTCCCAGCTTCTTTGCAACATCACCAATGGATAGGCTGGGATGCTCTCCTTTGATTTTTGGGGGTTCTTCGGACCGAACAAGAAAGAGGCCGAAGGAGGCCTCTTGGGTGCATTGGGATCCCTGAACTTCTTTTTTGTTTCCCCTTTAGGAGGGATATAGGTTTTCATTTCTCTTTCATAACAGGCCTTGTCCGCCTTTGCCATATCTTCACATTTTCCTTTCTCTTTAGCAGACATGGTCTTCCACCTCTCTGAGCACTTCTTAGAAAACTCTGAGAAGCTGACTGAAGCATCTGGGTGCTTCTTTCTTGTGCTCCTCCCAAGAAGTTTGCACAAAGAATACATATGATGACATTTTGCCTCTTGGCTTCTTAGGATCTCCTTTGCCCATGTTTAGTTATTTTTCCTCAGGGAGGCACAGAGTCGCCCAGGGCCTGTCCGGCTCTTACTTGCCCCAGTGCTGTCTCTATGGAGCTTAATGTACTGCAATGGCTGTGAGAGCGGGAGCCAGACGCAGCCTCTATACTGTGTGCTGTAACCAGTAAGAATCCTCTTAAAAAGTGACCCTGTAGGGCAGTGCCTCGCCTGTGCCTCAAAGAAGTAGCGCTAGCCCCATATGCCGGAGTTGGCAGGTTCAAACCCAGCCCTGGCCAAAAACTGCCAAAAAAAAAAAAAGTGATCCTCTTAATCACTGCCAGAAAGACTTTATTGAAATTATGGAAAAAATATATTAAAAAGTTAGTAGTGGTGACATAGATAACTTTTAATTTTCTTTATACTTTTTGTATGTTCCAAATCACCTATAATATATACACATGACTTTTATAGCCAGAAGAGAAACAATCATTATTTTTAAAATACCCAATAACTGTCACAATCTTCTATGTACATACAAGTCAGAGCAGAAAGGTAAAGTGAGGAAAACACATACAGAATAAAAACATGTAACAAAAAAAAACCTGAAACAATGATGATGAACATCTTCAAAGATGAACCCAATGCATTAAGTGCTTACACATACAGGTAGAGTAGAATAGAGCATGGGCTTTCATCTCAGACAAATCTGGATTTTAATCCCAACATTCCTATTTGCCAGCTAAGCAATCCTGAGCTAGTTACTCTAAAGAGTTCACTTTTCAGCTCGGC